TAAACTAGCGGCCCTCCGCGTCACATCACGCGTCTGAGCGACTAGAGCGGTCACATTACCATCACCAGTCACGTTGTTGAACAATCCGTCTTTTAACATCGCGGTGGCGGCATTGGTCGTATTATTCAAGGTGGTCCATGATTTTGCTGCTTCCTTCATTGCATCAACTAGATCGTGCCAAATGTCGCGCTCACGACAGAAAGAAGTGATGTGCCAAGCGAGAAGTCCGACTTCAACAAGAGTGACCAACGCCGGTACACCCAGAAAGAAACAATTGAGGAACATAGGCTTGAAGATGAAAGAAGGTGAAGATTTGAGTATTTCTGCGTACGCTGTCTGCGTATACAGCCTGTGGAGAGGGAGGTCAAGGGCTGAAATTCAGATATCTCTTGCCTTTGGCATCCGCTATGCGAGTAGGTTCCAGCCCTTTTGCGGAAAGCTTACCGAGTGTAGACTGAGGCCCAAGCCGTCACCCAAAACCCATAGAAAGCTAGTAGCCAAGATATATAGAGCCTAAGAAGAAGAAAATTTCGGATTCAGTGGTGTGAACCAAGCCACCAAATTCCAAGGGATCACATGACTTCGAGCCCAAGGAAAACCCTTTGAGATTCAGACTGACCAGAGTAACAAACCGTTCTTGGAGGCTACATTGTAAGATTTGAAGGAGGCCAAAGTGAGCCAGATTTCCGCTGTTGCAACAATACTGGCCAGGAGCTGGAAGCATGCCATCAGCGGTCCACTGTTGGGCAATATGAGCGCTGTGCTCTCCACTGACACAATCATGATGAAGTTATCCATGTTTCAGGATGTTACCAAGAATCAGCTTCACTCTTGATTCAAAGTCCCGGTTCTTAAAGGTATACAAGACGTTCGCGTACCCGGATATCCGTCTCCATCTTCGACATAAATCCTTCTGAACAACCAGTCATATTTGGCTTTTTGGGTAGCTGATTTTGGGAAAATGAAGCGAAGCAGTATGACGACACAAACTATAGCGGAGAGGAAGTGGATGATTGCAAAGACGATGAGTACAGCAACAGTCGCAGTTGGGACCTTGGGGAATCGAAGACTGTTGATGACTTCCTGCCCAAATTCAAATGGATTGACGTTTGAAGGAACTGATTCCAAGGTGCCTTTGTTGAGAAAAATGACAAAAACAAATTAGCTTTACTGTTCTTCAGTGATTGAGGCTAGTTCATAAGAAAGAAATCACTTTTGAGTGTAGCATTAGGAGGCAGATATCGAGACATTGTGTGGGGGTTGATTGGAGGGAGTAAGTGCAAGACGAGAAAGTTGAGAAGACCAAGTGGTTCTAGAGATCCTACATCACATTTTATGTTGTACTTGATTTCGGCATGCTTGTCCAACTTTTCCCGCAAAGTTCGAGCGATTTGGCAGGATTTGGCGCGGAATTTGCAAAATCAACAGTATAAACTCACTCAATCTCACTCAATAATTCTACATCCTGCCGAGGTCAGACAAGGTCGGAGCTCGCGAGAGCTGACGAGAGGTGATTGCACCTGATTGCACAACATTCGCCGCCGTGGAATAGTCACACGATCCGGGCTATGCACCTGACAAACTCAATTCACTCAAAGTTGGTCCTGTTATCGGATTGTACTTAAGTGAATACATGATCAATGGGACACACAGATGATGATGATGTCATTACCTGACGAGGGGAACGTCAGTTCTCGGTCCAGGGAGTACATAGGCTTCCACACATCAGTCACTGCTTGCTATAAGCATCATAATGCATCAAATCGGATGCTTACAAAGTGCGATGCGTCATTTTGAAATCAGCATAAAAGCATCTTTGGGAAGAAAGTGAACCTGATGCTGATTTTGGGGAAGAAAACCCGCATTCAAGACATTGTATTTTTATGAACTATAGTTTTTGGACATTTTTGAGGACCCTGGAAAGCTCTGGTTGAAGTTCCTATGTAATGAAAAACCTTACCATTTTTCAGACCAAACCGGGAAAGTGGAAGATTTTTGGTCAAAACCTGACCATTTTCATTAGGGACCTCAAAAAAAAAAGTTGGCACCGGGTTCTATAATTATTTGCATAGGAGTTTGGTTCTAATTGCATAGTAGTTTGGAGATAGCATAGTATTTGGAATAAAGCATAGTAGAAAGAGAAGAGTTTCTCATGAATGGATAGTTAAGACAAAAGAATTGCTTAATCATAGATAAGTTGTAAAGATACATGATCAGTTACCTTCAATGAGAGTTGACATGATTGGTCCTTTGAGACTTTAATTTGAGACTTCGTCCTCATACTGACCAATTGAGTGTTTGATATCAGAGCCTCCTGACATCTCTCTGATAGCTGTTGGGATTGAGTAGCAACCCCCATCCAGGGATATAAATTTGGAGCCAGTCAAAGGTGGAAAAATATGAGCCATGTCTGTTGCATCCACAAGTGCAAAGGTCCAACCATCTCTGCTGTGTGGACAAGTTGACAGGGCAACCGGAAAAGCTGGCTCATAAAATAAAATGTGGACAGGAATGTGTGATAACTCCTTTCAAGAGGTAGCAGTGTTTCCCACTTCCATGCTGGTAAACAACCAGAGTGCAACCCAAATAAAGAACCTAAAGATCAATGAAAGCATCAGCATTTGTTCAATCAATGTATTGTGATTATACAGATAAGATTGACATGATTTTTGATGATTGTCACAAAATTACCTGACTCAATTGGGCTCTGAGTGCTGATGATGCCACCATCAAAAAGACCTTGCAACGTTTTGTATCCAAGGAGCAATGTTCTGGTCAGTAATCCAGCCATGTTTAACTTCACATGGATGTTCCAACAATGTCTATGTTTAGCACCAGAAGAAAGGTTTGTTTGACTTTTCATGTGGACCACAATGATCTTTGAGCATGCACTAGGATCAAGACACCCATCTTTGTTGGTAGAAGCTATGGCCACTTGTAACTTGACAGCATTGACCTGGTCTCACTCATTACCCTTGTGTCTTTGAGATTGACCGTGGTGTTTTTTTCAAACACAAACCAAAGCCTTGTTGTGAAGCTTTTGATTTTCAATCATGCTCACAGACGTTCTTTTGGGTACATTGGTTTGCAAAGATGATGAAGATTGATTGTGTTTGACATCTGTAGATTAAATCCAATTCAGTCACAGTTATAATAAAAGCATAGACAGAACTTACCTGGGTCAAGGAGCCTAGATATAGACATGGCTGCAATCTGGACTGCTTCAGACCCAATGTTCTCATCTAGCTGATTGAGCAACAACAAAGTTGAGTTTTGCCTTTGCCCAGAATTGCGGCCGCCTCCAATGCCTGGTCTTCTGGACAGTTGCTGGGTCTGTAAGCGCAGGTGACTTCATAATCTTTGGCAAGACTTTTGGATATATCTGGAGTTTTGTGAGATGAAGTTTAGAATTTATCGTGAGATTCTGAAGAATCTTGAGTAGACTTTTCTGCTAGCAAATGCGTATAGTATGAAAGGACACCTGAGGGCACAGGTTCTGAGTGAGACTACAGCTTTAACGCTAGTCTACGTCCAGAACAAGATGAACTAACCTGTGAGCTCAAAAGAATCTGTGAAGAGCACACGTAAGAAGAAACTTTTAGAAAGACTGTAAAATAAACAGTTATGATTCTTTTTGACACACACCTGAGGGCACAGGTTCCAAGTGAGACTACAGCTTTAACGCTAGTCTACGTCAAGAACAAGATGAACTAACCTAACAACGTCAGAGAACAATAATGAAAGAAATTTAATAAAATTTATTAGAGAAACATAATCTTGATAAAGAAGTTTGAAAAGATCTATCTACCTGCTAGCTCAAAAGAATTTGTGAAGAGAACATGTAAGACAAAACTTTTGGAAAGATTGTAAAATAAAAAGTTACTAAGATGAGAGTGATGATATCAGCAATGCAAGAGAGAAAAATAGATGTTGATGACTTTAGAGGAAAACTCACGGGTTCTTTTTGACACAAAAAAAAGAAAGAGAGGGAAAGAAAATTACAAAAGAAATGAAAGACCCAAAAAGATTCCTCCATACCCCTTGCTTCACGTATTCCAAATTACCCCTTTGTTCATCTCAATGTTTACTCACTCAACAGTTTTCGATAAAACATGCCACATCCATAACTCTTACAACCACCACTAACAGCCTCTTCAATTACCACATAAGGGAAATGGTCTTTGACTACTTTACCAAGATCATATCTTAACACACCCCCTCAAAGAGCATTACCCGTAAAACCTCAACCCCAAACCCTTTCTAAGTGTTGATAATTGTTCTTTAGGAAGTTGCTCAGTTAAAAGATCTGCTACCATCAAGCACCATGCCCATTTTGAAGGGAATCAACGTCGAGCACACACGGTGATCTCACAAATGTCCTCCGAAAGACTTCTGAAACACTTTCCACAGCTATGAAAGTCTTGTTCCTTTGTTCATGATGGAGAAATTCTCCCATCTTCCCTTTCCTTTGATTGCTGGTTTGTGTTTTCCTTTCTTTGTGAATCAACTGATGATATGCACAGACCCAGATGTTCCGTCTGATGATGCATAAGAGATCTATAACGGGGCAGACCCTCCTCCAACCAAAGAGATGGATATGTACATACCCGTCTTCAATCCGAGTCCACTTCAAATTCCAAGTTCTATCTTGTAAAAGTGTGGTGGCCAGCTGAAGTCCTTTGTTCTCAATCTCGCCCTCAATCTCACCCTCGATTTCACCATATTTATCTTGATCTTGTGCGTCCCTATCCAAGAGGTTCATTAAAACTCATTGTAGATATTTCACATCAATCCTATCAACTCCAATTTTTACTGTTCTTGTCTTTTATTTTACATTTCCATTCCACATCTCAAAAAAAATCCGAACCAAGTTTTCATTGCTTGACTTTCATATCCTGTGTCTTCTGCAAGTTTGATTTTACTTTGATTATTCTGTTGGGGCAAGCGGTGTTTTACATGCTAACTTTTTTTCTAAAACAGAACTAATCGATTCTTTAAACATGGAGGCTGAACCCACAACTACTCAATCTGGACGTACTCAATCTGGCCAGAACAACAAAAAGAGACGGACCGAGCACGAGGATGACAGTGTGTTCAAGTGTATCTGGCTCATATTTCTAAGTATGCATACTGATTTATGATCCTCTCTTTCAGATCGCAATGGACGTTCTGATACTGAATCCCTCCTGGGTAGTGATGATGACTCGGGTGAGTCAAATTTCCACTTTCTCATTATTTATATCCTGTGTATCATTTCACAACTGAGCATTCCAAACCTGTTAAACAGATGGTGAACTCACGTTCGAGGAATCTGAAAACCGTAAACGGAAGAAAGCTGCTCGCCGTAGAGAAGAAACTGAGGATCGCCACCGTGATGCAATGATGGCCAACCTTGCTGATGCACCCGACATCCCAAACTCAGCGTCACAGATTTCCCAAGCAATCTATGAATATGTACGAATGCTCATGGGAATCTCAAGGAAGTCACGATCAGTAGTTTCTGACAAAAACACTGACGATCCAACACTCCCACCACCGCCAACTGAAACTGAGATGAACGCATGGACTACTCGTCGGGAAGATCGAGAAGAGTCGATTAAGTCTGCAATCGAGAAGGCCATGCGCAAATATATTGCAAGTAAGCCAGCTGGCTTTAAGCCCAATAGAAAACAAAAACGAACTGTCGAACGGGACGCGGCAGAACGTGCACGCTCAAAATTCAAATCAACAGCAGTGGCATTCACTTCTCGACTCAAACACTCATCTTCCAGCCGATATCCGCACAGCTGGGGACTCAAATGTGAGGCTGCTTTTGCCATGGCTGGTTTCCCTCGCTGTACATTCGACTGGGAAGCAGGATACGAGTCTCCTTGGAATTCATCAATCTCAACAATTATTCTCGACCAGTGGGTCAAGTGTTTCGATGCACGTGGAGCCCGTTCATTTAACATTATAGCTTCTGACAACAAGCCTGGAAACCGCGAAGAGATCCTACGGAGGTGGTTTACAAACAAGAAATCTGACTATCGGAAACAATCAAAACGCGAAGTCTTAATGAAGACACCTGGCGGTCCAGAGAAGATTGCAGCCGACAAAGCTTATTCAAAGAAATGTGTCAGTCGTCGACGAACCAAAAACACTGTAAGTAATTTGTTCACATATACCTACTTTTCATATGATGATAAGCTAATTATCAATATAACAATCCATCCCAGATCTACAACGCTCGAAAATCTGTGGCAGTTGATGTATTTGGTGCCGAATCTGGAGAAGCGGAAATCATATCTCAACGCGAGATTCATTCTGATGACGACCTGACTAGCTCGACTCCCAGCAAAGTTCGGTTCAGCTGGCGCAGTGCCGAACTTGACACATTCATCAGCTTAATTGACCAGTGCGTCTGGTCTCGTGAAACGGTTGCTGCAGCTCGCCGTTCAGCGCGCAATCCAGTGGAGCGTGGTCCATACAGCACAACACCAGATGTTGATGTCTTTCCGCCAAAGTTGTTTCAACGCTCACTTGTCTCACCAACTTGGATATCTTCAATGTCAGGAGTTGCGGTCAGGAACTTAAAGTTATCAACTACGGATAAGGTTAACATCCTCAGATCAATTGAGAAGTTGACCCTTGAGCTTTCTGCTCCTTCAACATCTCAATGAAACATTCACTGTGTTTTGCTAGGAACCTTTAATTTTCTTGTACATATTTTTTGATAACTTTTTCTTATTCTGATGTTTTTTTCTACTGGTCAATGATTCACTCATTTATCTACTCACATTCATTCATCTGTTCTCTTTAGCTAGGTTTTTACTTACATATCATCTTTTGCTGATGGAGCTCATCCTTGAGTCTTATGTGTTTGACTTCCCGATAATACATATGTTTGTTGAGGGCTTATACTGCGCTTGTTCATAAATCTTCCTTGTATAATTTTTTTTACATGTATATATCTTACTGTTGGGTGTTTCTCTGAATGAATTCAGTATAAATGGTTTGGTTCATAATTCCTATCCTACTGCGAGAATAATCAAAACCTGTTGATGTCCTCGGCCAAATGAGAACAACTTCGATTCTTTATTACCAGGTTTGGGAAGCCTAACACAAGTAATGTGTCAAACAACACCGTCTGTTGCCTTCCTCTACGTATAGGGACCAATCCCTAATTCATAATCCCGTGTGACGACCAGATGTGTCATTGTTTGTATGCTCTTGTGACGGAGGGCTTTGATTTTGAACCCTTCCGTCAGTTAAACTCTTTGGTCAGTTCAGATGCAGAGTGGGTCTCATGAGTCATATCTTGTGATATCCGATCACTTTGGCCTCAGATAGCCTCAGATTTACAGTTCGAAACCCTTTCCAACTCAATAGTGGTTTGTCTCCACATTGCAGTCAACTACCTAAAACAAAAATAAATTGAAAAGAGGTATCTCGCGAAAAGATCCCAAGGGAAACTTCACTATCCCTTTTTTGTCCTACCTTGATTCTCAGCGTCCAAGTTTTCTACTGGTTTTGTTTGAAGTATCAGAGTCGACCACTCTTTGGAGGTTTACTTAATTTAGATACCATCTTTAGTGCTCTTGAAGTGATCCATTATTCTACTGTGAGCCGTCACCCCATTCTCTTGATTCTTTTCAAGCTGTGTGGTATGTAATGTCTATTTTTCTCATTGTTGATGAGTACTGGACAGTGATCCAGCTTTCATTTGGTTAATCGGTTTTTGTATTTTCTGACTGGTTTCTTCACTCGATGCATACTACATACACCCAATTTACAATCTAGTTTTGGCAGCAAATTGTATTTTGATCTCGGATAACAGTCTTGAAAGTTTTAAGTCATCTCTCCTGTTCGGATTTGGATGGTGTTGTACAAAAAAGCAGGAAACACAGGTATGATTCAAAGATTCTTTTTTACTTTTCTTCATATCTGACCTTCCGGTGATCTCCAACTGCCTGCTAACTTTTTCTCAACTTGCACGTGTCCATGATCAACTCACTTTCCACGATTTGTATTTGATCAATTTGCACTTCGGCTGATTGTTTTGAAAAAATCAGGAACTCGTGATTTTCAAGGTGAGGTTTACATTGTGATCTTATTTAAGTCAGTAATAAGCGTGCTCATCTTGGTTTGTTGGGATTCTTAGTCAATCAATGCGGTTTGGGTCAAACCACATCCAATGCTCTTGCATTGAGCTCGGGTGTGCTGACGAGCTATTCGAGAGGGATGGTGCGACATACTCTGGGCGCCTGTTCCATCGGACAAACTATGCTCGCCATCAAGCTAAGATAAAGAAGGCTATCCCGCAACCACAGCCTGCTTTGAACTTTGACAACACTTTGATTTCACCCTCTTCGACCTCCAACACCAAGGCAGCTTCAGGTTCTTCTCAAAATCCCGTGGACTTTTTGACACATATCTTGCCTGAGAATTCCGCCCAGCACCCAACCTCTACTGACCGTGTGACAGTTAGCAATACCCAGAGCACTAGCCAAAAACGAGGTCGAGACTCTTTTGAATCGGACTTGGATCTCACTCATAGTCGGTTGAAGAAACCTGCACCCAATCGAAGTGGAACAAGCTTGATCTCAGTCCCAATCTTATCATTCTCAACCGCCGCTTTCAAGATACCCCAAACCTTTGTCCAACAGATCTCAACCACTCAATCTTTATTACATGTTATCAA